ACTGGACTAACTGGCACACCGCCGTCAACGTCCTGGAACGGAACTGAACTGAACTGAACTTCAACTGACCTCAAGGTCGTGACCTTGGGGTGATTCACAACTTGAAACTTTCGCAGGATGGACCCAGCCGTGTTTGAGGATGTCGCCAATAGCTTCGCTAAGCTACGGATGTATCCGTACTTCGACATATGCCATTATATTTTAATGAGTATAGCTGTTAAAGAAGATACTCCTCAGTCGGGTATGTTGCGTTAAGGAGGAGTTATGTTTTTAAGGTTCATCTCAATTCTCCAGGCGACATCCATTTTCTTGCTGGCTGGCTACAATGCTCATGTGTTTTGGCGGCGCGATTCTGTCAAATTTCATTTGCGGGTCTCCTCTTTTTGTTTGTTTCGATGATACGAGAGCGGTGCTGACGGCCACAATTGTATGGTAAGCAGTATTACATACAATGTATTCCTTCTTAGGTACATGATTAACTACTTTCCATTCGATCTTCTCTATCGAATGAGCAAATTTCTGCCTATAAGGCTTTTAATATGCTCACTGAAAGAGATCCAGAGAGCTCGGAAGATCTCGATGGGCGTTCACCACGGCCTCCACCAGTTTCCCGAATCTGCTGTTATGTGTGTTCTTCTGGGATTACTCAAAGGTAGGTTATTTCACTATGAACTGTAGTAAAGTCGCATTTCAGGCTGTGGTAGTGTTAATATACGACCGGTCTCCCAGTTTGTTATGGGTACTTGGGAGCCGAAGAAAAACCCCGTACTAGTAATACCGTTGTAAGTATTTACTGGAAAATTCCCTCGCATGTTTCGTTCAGTGATCGATATTGGGTACTAGAGGTAACATGAAAAGCCATCTGGTCACGAGGGTTGGAACAGTTGAAAGCGATATTTTCCTCCAGTATTGCAACAAATTTTGGTTAACTGTAAATGTTTTTCACTCAGGTACAGCACGTTTACTTTTTTCTGAAGAGCTTCAATAAGTATTGTCCCTTTAACTATACAAAGTTGCTCATATTTCTCTGGTTTAGTTTTTTCTTTCGGTAGGCCGTCTAATCAAGGATTTAAGAAATGCCCAACTAAACTTGAAGAAGAATTTTGTGTCCAAATAATATGAATGCTGGCGTCACTGGTTATGGTAGTCAGGTTTCATGTCGTTAACCATCCTGAGGCTCTTGATGTGCCTTTACGAACGCCAATTCAATCATTTTAGATCACGGGATATTGTTCCATAATTCTAACTGAATCAAACCTCTGGGGGATACAGCACTGAAGTTTACCGCTTCACCTTGATGGTTTAGGACTCTTATTATATAGTTCTCCAAAAGCTATATGGTTTCCTTTCCCTAGTCTTAATAGCTGTGGTGGAAAAGATACTACGTATACGAATAATAATGAAATAAACGGTACATGGAACGGACTCACAGAGGGATTGTCCGGCTGGTTGGTTGATCCCGTTCTTCAGATGTTTGGCTCTGATTGATAGGGTGCAGTATTGCTGAAATGGATGGCTGCGACAGTTAACGAACCGCTTGACAGTAACTGGTAATGTACGCGTGATGCTTCAGCAACACTCGGAGAACACGTGCACAGTTACGAATAGAATTTGTATTGTGTTGTTAGGTGTTGTGCATATTAAAACAAGCTGTACAATCGTGTCATATACTGGATAGAAAAGTGAGACACTACAGTACCCTCCTAGAGTACAGGTGCAAACTGAATACTCGATAAAAGCAAGAGTAAAAGCGAATTGTTAAAGAAAACGAGCAGGACAGTGTACTTTTCTACCGAGACGTGTTGTACGTTGAAACGGTTGGTGTAAATGCGCGTGTAGAAGATGGGCTAGTTAGAGGAGGGTGTGTTGTATCTGTTGAGTGACTTGGTGGGGGTGATGTATCGGGGATAACTGGTGAATGAACAACATGGGGGGATTGTTTCATAGGTAAATTGAATGATGAATCGAGATACGCGGATTTTAAACGATCGATGCTTACCTAGCCA